CATTTAATTGGCTTCACCCTCATGTCATCCAACCTGTCCATGTGGGCTTCTGCCTAATTTGGCTGCTTCTACTAAGTGACAGATGATTTTATGTCAAAATGCTGTAGAGTTTGATTGGACACCCAGCCTTTGACGTCAATAACAAAAGCATTTTCCTCACCTTTTTAGAAGCTGATAAGAAGCTATTATTTATTTTGAAGAAAACATATTTATTTTGCTACACTAAATATACTCTCTTATACTATATTATGTGGTTAGTTGCATTTAGCCATATCATAAGAGACCTGACAGTTGTTAACTGGAGATTTAACACTGAAATAGTGACAAACAATAGTTACAGCTGAATAAATAAACACACACACAAAAAAAAGTTTAAAAAGTTCAAATGTAAGGTCCTTAAATTACCAATAGAGAAAGATGATTACTAAATATGCAGTCAAGCATAATGTACCAAAGCCGGACCAGAATGAACAATAAGATAACTGTTGCATTTGAACTGGAGCTGTGTTCCCATATAAGCAACCACGTAATCTATAATCCTGCACAAACAGCATTAATGTGGTCCTTTATTTATTTGAGTATTTAATTCAATTTCACAAAGGACTCACAGCTTAAAAAAAAAAAAAAAACCTTACCAGGCTCTGAAATATCTGACAGCTAAAACAACAATCAAAAGCTGCAGCATTAAAAATAAATAAATCCATCCACCAAAATTATACTTAAACATGGCTCTCTCATTTGACTCTAGGTCTCATGAGTCATTTTACCTGTCTGAGATAACTGCATCAGATTTCATTTATCAATAGAGCCGTAAGCTTTGAATAGCGTTCCTTTATTAAAGTTGAGCAGATGGAGTTTGGTCTAGCACTGCTCTGCTCTGCTGCCCAGACACAATGATATGCAGCAGCGCTAGACACATCCTCAAATGCATTGAGAGGACTTTCTTAAGGCTATCATGAAAAGCTTAATTTAGATTTTGGGTTTCATTGGAACCAAGGTGATCTTGCCATGGAAACCTTTTGACTGATATCTTTGCCTTTGTTTGGAGAAGAAAACTAAATTCTTTCATGTTCGTTACAGTGGAGATTAGGACTAGTAGTCATAACCGCTATAAATAGTAATTTTGAATCAAAAGTCCAGGATTTTCTGTAGCAGTGGTTTTGTATGTATCAAACATTTCATTATTTTAGTTATGTTTTGTGAATTCAGTCCTCCAAAGTAAAATTATAACACCATTTATTTTGTTTTAGCTGTTGGGTAACAAATTAACAAAAGGTCAAAATAAAAGACATTTAAACAAGGATCAACTATGTTGTGAAAGTAGATTTTTACTGAGAATTGAACTATGATCTTAGAACGGGCTATTTTTCAGGTCAGGGTTGTCACATGTTTAAATTTGTTTGAAAAAAAAATTGGTTTGATATATTTATTATGTTGCCTTTTTCATTAATTGTTTTTTTGTTTCCTAATTGTTTTGGTGTTTAAATTTGACAAAAAAACCTAAATAGCCTGTTTAATGTTGCACTATACAAAACTGTCCCATGAAATGTTTAATTTTTTCTCCAAAAGTATGATAACTGACCTCTGCCTTATTTTCCTCTTTTGAGATATGTGGATACATGAAAAGATACATTACCTAGAAATACTGTCATGAAACCCAAATCAATCTTAATTTTAATCTAATCAAGTCTACCTGGTAAAACATACCATACTTTTCCTGAGAAAGCAATAGAGAACAAAATTCAAGAATTTGCAGTGTTAATTCTGATGGAAACAGCTATCGATGGCTCGTGTCCACAAATTAGACTGAGCTCTAGAATGGGATAAGCTAATGAGCAAACAGAGGGCAATTTAAGACTGCAGCCAGAATTGCTGTTACTTTAAAAGTACCTGTTTTATTTGAAGGCTGTGCTTGATCAATTTTGAATAATAACTCCAAACTAAATAAACCTGGCCATAATTGCTTTTGCAAATCAATTAAGTTCCGTTTGAACAAAAGCCAAAAGGAGGACCAAGGGATTTCCACTCAGCATTAAACTATGCTGAAGCTACGCTAGCCCAGGCTAATCTCAAAGACACTCGGTCCCTTTTCGCCAGTGCGCATCCCTGTTAAACACTTCATGTGGAGTGAAAGTAATCTATGAACACATGCACGCACACACATGCGGTTCTGCTCCTGTTCACATTGTCTTTCGCTGTCTATTTTTCTGTCCCTTTAGTAAATATTTCCTGCCTGTTTACGTTGTCAGCATAAAGAGCATAAAATACTCAAAAAAAAAAAAAAAAAAAAAAAACCAACAGCAAGCATCTTGCATTCTTATTCCTGGCCATCTTGTTTACTTTTTATTGACACATAGTTCTCTATAATCATCTTTTCTGTCCTAAGCATCGAAAATCTCTGCATTCCAAAAGTTTGCGTGTCTAAACGTAATGTCGCTCAGATCTGAGCTTCATCGATCGCTGTTTAGAATCAATCCTCGGCAAGCAGATATTTCCAGGAGAAATCCTTCACTTCTCTTCAATTCTCTTCAGTCTTGTTCGCTCGACTGGGATCATCTGATGCTGTCCTCAAATCACATCCTAAAGCGCTGATCTGTACTCTTGGAGAGAGTGAAAAACACCCAGTGCTGAACATGGCAACCATCTCATCAAAGCCCAGACGCTGAATATCAGAACTCAGGCTGAATGCACAAGTGAGAGTTAAATTGAGTTATCCTGTTTTACATAAATATAGAATTAACACATAGAAGGACTTACACAGCTGATGATCTGCAACAAAGGGCAATCTATATATGCCTTGTAAGCATGAAGATTTGTATCTACTATTTAGTGTTTAAAAATAAAGCAGGAGCATCATTCAAAAGGCCCCTGGTGAAATTATTTGGGCCGATAGGGGTCATAACTATGGCCAGGCATTTAATCATCTTCATCCATCTCCAAAACAATACAAATGCTGAGGCAAAATAAAAAGAAGGAATGACCAGATCCAAACAGCTTTGTGGATTGGGAAAGGTTTCAATCCATAAGGTATGAAATATTGTGCCACATATTTAATATAAATTAGTTGTGATACATATAAGTCTATGGCATGTACCCCATTCTTCAAAAGTTTCGGTTTGGTAAGATTGAATGTTTTTGAAAGTTTCTTGTGCTCACCAAGATTGAATTTATTTGAGCATAAATAAATAAATACAAAAATATTGTGTGATATGATCGGAATCTAAAATAACCATTTTCTATTTTAATATATTTTTAAATTGTATTTATTCATGTGATGAAAAGCTGAATTTTCAGCAGCCATTACTCTAGTCTTCAGTGTCACATGATCCTTCAGAAATCATTCTTTGAATCATATGTTGATTTGGTGCTCGACTTTTTTTATTATTATCAATTTTGAAAAAAAGTTGTTCTGCTTAATATATATTTGTGAAAACCATTATACTTTTTTAATGATTTTTTGATTAATAGAACATTAAAAAACAAACTGAACAGTAGTGTACATTGAGCAAATTAATTAATGCAGAATGGGGGATATCCTGTTTTCTTCTTTTTTTTTTTTTTTTTACTATCATCAGTGCACAAAATGTGTGCAAAGTAAATTCACATCTTACAGCTTACAACAATTGCAATAAGTATTTAATTAAAACATCCAGAGATACCCACTCGTAAAGACAGCATTGATCTGTCTTTTACTGATGAGATGGTTTTTTTTTTTCTTATTGAAAAAAAAGGAATGATTGAATGAACAATTCAATGACTCACTCACAAGGACAGTCACTTGTCGTCACCTACTGGCGTATCGATGTAACCTGCAAGAAGAGTCACTGAAAACCCCACACCACTTACACACAGACTAACAGACAATCTGTCTGGAACAAACACATACAAGCTGAGTGATACAAACAGTGAAACGTCCCTGTTGTATAATGTGGATTACATAATCTCTTGAATGCTGAACTGACCAATCAGCATCCAGGACTGGAAATGTCCATTCAACAGTATGTTTTTAACATGCCGATACTCATTTTGGTGAAAACCAATGTGTAGACATGCAAAAAAAGAAATACCAGTGAGACCTGCACTGATCTCACCTGAATCACACAACCTTGATACTCAAGTGTACATGTACTCAAGCACATGGACAAAAAAAAAAAGACTGAATGACTTGATTCATATCAATGCAGCACAAAGAGTGCCAACAGTGCCCATTGTACTCAGTTCCACAATAGATATTCAACAAAAATCCAGTGTGTGTGATGCACATGGACTTTAAGCATACAGTGGAAGGAGTAAATGCGTGTGCCATGCAAAATAAATAATACTAACCACATCATCTAACAGCTGCAGTTTCTTCTCATGCACTGGGCAAAGTTTACTTACAAAGCAAAAGCAAACATTCAACTAACGTTTAATGACATTTGACCTGCTCATGCAGTGCGAGGGAGTGTGAATGTGTAGATGGGCATCCAAAAGCATGGAGGTACTCTACCTGCTTGATGCTGCGGCTCACCTGGGCAGGTGGCAGTGTTGTTGCAGAGTCGGGTTTCCCTCAGCGGGCCACTGCAGAGGGTCCCGTACGGAGAGGATACACATGAACGAGAACGAACCTGCCAACCCTGCCCACATGTCAGCGAACACACGCTCCACTGAGACCACTCCTCCGCTGCTGGGTCACCTACAAAACACAAGATGGAGAGAAAAGGAAAATCTTTAAATTATTGACCCAGACACAAACCCCAGACTTCAACGTTAGTCATGAAGTGTTATGTTACACTACCACCTTCTGTAAATTCCTGTGAATAAACTAGAACAGCTCTGCCAGGAATGTTTTTTTGAAGTATTCACAAAAACATCCAACAATCCATTTCACATCTCCAGCTACTGATAAGGTGTTGTTAGGTCAGTGGCAGTCGGAGCCACCTCATCAGCTTCGGCTGAACGTGACTGCTGGAAATATGGCACGTGAAGTTCCCTAGTCGTTTTTTGTCAGCCGTGTCCTTGGATAGAGGCGACATCACGAAGTGAATGGGCAAATCAAATTAATTGCACGTCTTGTAATCGCATTAAATTTTAATTTGCATGTCGTGAGTCAGAGCTTAGCCTTATTTGCAGAGCAGATGGGTGGAGAATAGAAGGTGGGGGGCTGATGGGGACAGGAATGCCAACGGGAGTTTATGCACATACGTTTTCACAGAGATGGAGGTTGAAGAGGGGAAAAGGTGTAATACAAATTACTTCAACATGAGAATATTCAGAAATTATTTTTATTATTATTTTTTATTTGTTGAAAATAAAAATAAAAATGTAACAATAAAAAAGTGTTGTGTATTATTTATATATACTATGTATATTTATATGTATTATTTAGATATTAAAATATGTGTGTGTGTGTACCTGTTTTTCTATTCTGGTGGGGACTTAAACATGAATACACACAGACTCATGGGGACTCGTGTCACGGTGGGGACCTAAATTGAGGTCCCCACGGGTAAACAAGCTAATAAATCACACAGAATTAAGTTTTTTGAAAATCTAAAAATTCAGAAAGTTTCCTGTAAGGGGTAGGTTTAGGTGTAGGGTTGGTGTAGGGCAATAGAAAATACGGTCTGTACAGTAGAAAAAGCATTACGCCTATGGAGTGTCAGGGATTCATCACAGTCACTTCAGTCACCATCCAGGATAATCACCCGATCACAGTCACCTGAGTTCTGATCACTCGCACCTGCTGTCACCAATCAAGCCACTCTACAAATACACACACATCTCAGTCACTCACTGTCTGGTCTACCGTTCACTCCTATGAACTGTTCTGGACTCTCTCTACTGAAGTCTCCTAGAAAGACTTACCTTCTATTCCTCCCGCGATCCTCTAACGACTCCTTGGAATCTGTTCCACGATCTCCAACGAAACCGGCATAAGATACTCTCCATCAGAACCCAGATAAGAACCCTGGAATCATTCACTGTGTTGACACTCACCTGCCTTTACCTCACCCGTTCCATTCATCTACTTATCAAGTCAATAAACCATCCTGTTTTGCACTTACCTGTTGTGTCTGGCCTTGCTTTGTGACATGGAGAGTCCCCACAAGGACAGCAAACCAGACGTGTGTGTGTGTGTGTGTGTGTGTGTGTGTGTGAGAGAATTTATTCATTCCGTGTTGCATGGTCCTTCAGGAGTCATTCTAACATGCTAATTTGGTGCTCAAAACAGTTTTTGATGCTTAATATTTTTTTAATTACTTTTAAATACTTTTATTCAGCAAGGACATCATAACTTGATCAAGTGACACTAAACACACATACTTTAAGATTTATATTGTAATAAATGCTTTTCTTTTGAACTTCTATTCATCAAATAATCCTGAAAAAAATGTATTATGGTTCCCACAAAAATTGTAATATTACACAAAAACGTTTTCATCACTGATGATAATAAGAACGATTATTATTAACTGAGCACCAATAATATTTAATAATAACTGAGCATCAAATGTTACACTGAAGACTAGAATAATTTCATTCATTCATTGTATTTTATTATTTACTTACAACATTATATCTATATATTATATTCTGTATATTTATTAGTGTTGTCAAACAATTAATCGCGATTAATAGCATACAAAATAAGTTTTGTTTGCATAATATACGTGTGTGTTCTGTGTATATTTATTATGTACTGTATATGTAAATACACACACATACAGCATATATTTTGAAAATATTTACATGTATTTACATGTCTACATTTATATTGATATAATTTATATTATAAATAAATATATTTAATATGTAAGCATAACATATTTTTCTGAAATGTATACATGCATGTGTATGTATTTATATATACATAATAAATGTACAAAGCAACTTTTATTTTGGATGTGATTAATCGCGATTAATCGTTTGACAGCACTAATATTTACATAAATAGAAAGGTTAGATATATATCCTGGAGGAGTTGCTATTTTCAGACTTCTTTTTCTCTTAAAAAAAAAAAACACAAAAAAGCCCCATCAAAGCGCTGTCCATGGTTCTGAAATGCAATTCAACTAAATAATGAAAGGAGATGGGACTCACCTGTTTGGGCCTGGAACACACCCGGCTGGTCAGCTGATCGCGGCCTTTGTGTCTTCACCTTCTGCTCATCATCATCAGGTTCTGGACAGACATATGACAAAACATCATATTTTAAAGAAATATGATAATAGAGGCCATGTATGAGATCTAGAGGTTATGGTTAATGTGCTTTCAAGAAGTGGTAGCAACAGTAATATGATACAGAACACTAATAACTAATAATTTATATTTACTGTATTCGTATATTTAATAATAATATATATTTTTTTTAAATCCATACTTTATTAGTATGGAACTGACGTATAAGTTTGTACAATCACAAATGCTAATGCCCACACATACTATTAGGGCTGTTTTACATTTACACACTAATGTAATACATCTCTCCACTGAGCTGTCTTATCCTGAAATTAAATGTAAATCTTTCCATTCTTGTGTGAGGAACATTTTAAATGTGCTGCTACAAACCTCATCTTGTAGTAGCTCCTGAGTAAACCTACATAAGCCAACAGAGACCTGTCACCAAAGTGTTTATTATATCTGGCCTAGTCTTCAGGGCACATGAAAATCCCTCATAATGTGAACACACACTCATGAGAGCATATATTTCAACTCCTCCTCGCTCAGATGAGGCTACCTGCCCCCAAAAAGTGAAGTTTAGTGGAAATATGAGCACATTCGTATGTGTAGTGTCATGAGTGCCAGAACAAACTAAATGAATCCCAGGGGTTAACTCTTTTTGACACCTCAACCTAAACATATAGGAGTGTTTCTGGTTAATTCCAGTTAGTTGCCCTCCCTTGTTTATTTATTTAATTGGAAAGAACAAACTCAAAAGTATGAAAACTTGTTTCTGTCACAGGATTTAAAAAAATAACTGTTGTGGCTATCTCGCAATTGAGAATTTCTTCTTGCAATTTTGAGTTTAAATCTTAGAAATCAAAATTCAGAATCATTTCTTGCTATTCAGAATTGAGCTATAAACTCAGAATTGGAACATATAAACTGGCAACATGTAAGAATAAAAATAAAAGTCTAAATTGTGAGAAATAAACTCAGAATTGAGTCAAAATTGTGAGATAAAGTTACAATTACTATTTTATTTTTTACTTTATGGTGGGAAAAAAAACAGAATTGCGAGATGTAAACTCAGATTTTTCAGAATTCCGAATTTATATCTTGCAATTATGGGTTTATGTCTAAATTATGGCATAAAAAGTCACAATTACCTTCTTTTATTTTTGTAACCATGGTGTTAACAGGCTTTCATAGAAAAGTTCAGTGTGTCTCATTTCATTTGTGCACAGAGAAAGTTTGCACAGAGAAAGCGGAGAGAGAGAGAGTAAAAAAAAAACACACACGTGTTCAAACTAATGTTAATGAATCAACATTAAATATAAATGAAGGAGGGTGTGTCCAAAGTAATTAGCATACAACATATCCAAACCATCTCCATATAAGGGCTTCCATACAATCTCTCCTGTACAGTCATTTTCTGAAAATATGTCTACAATTACGCATGGAGACCAATTTCTCTCTCTCTCTCTTAAATTTTTGCTCTTTTAATGCTGAATGTGTTTGTATCTAATGTATAGAGTGCCCAGTACACTCATTCAGCATGTGGCACTCTCTTCTCTGGAGCAGATTGGTCGACTTGACCTTTTGCTCTGAGTGTGTGAAAAGATGAGCTGCGTGGGTTGCTAATAAATTCCACAGGCATATGCAGGAAAAGAGGATTTTCATAAGATGTAGAAGGAAGAACGGAAGGAAGAAAACACTAGAAAATAAGTGGATTATCTGAGGCTCTTTCTAAATTACCATGAGCGTTTATGGATGCTTAGAATAATTCACAATCATGAAGCACATCCTCAACATGAACTAAAAAAAAATAATTTTTTGGGGGGGTGGGGGGATCATGATTTATACCTCAGCGAGTTCCTAAAACCCAATGCTAAATTAATCTTAGTCAAGAGGTAGAGAATGAAGCACCCCACAGACTGCGTGTTTACGTTTCCATTATTTTGCTGCGAAAAGTAGTTCACAGGTCAGTGCGGATGGGATTTTAAATGCAGATACTATTGTAAAGATACAAATTAATTTGAATAATGTAGGACACAAAACATTTGACCTGCATTTAAAACTGAATGCTTCAAATAAATGCTTTGTTTAGATTCTAAACAAAGAAAGGTTTAAACTAAATGTACTGCGTTTAATATATGGATGTGTAATACATATTTTCAAAAGACAGAATTCGACTCTTTAAACAAACTTTAACTTGACACAGTCTCTTAATTAAAAATGCAAAGCTCATAGCAAGGCACTTCAAAAACATTGTGAAACACAACACAGACATCGTATGGCTGTAGCAATGATGCATTAAAAGAGATGAATTTAAAGACAACTTTCTAACAGCTAAAGCACAGCATGCTAATTAAACCACCACTTCTAAAAAATAATTTAAACAATCAATAATTACATATTTACATTTATTTATATAAGAACTTAAAGTGTTTTTATTAAATAAAAATAAATTAATTTATAGATATATTTATATATAAATATAAATGTATTTATTTTATATTATATAAAACGTTATATAATATATTATATCAAAATATACATTATTTTAATTAATAAAATAATTATTAAATTGTATTTAATATATTAAATACAATTTATTTGTTTCTTTTTTGTTTTTGTAGTTATAATAAGTAACATATATAGCCGACCAATTTCTACTAGAACAGTTAACATTTTTGAGGATACACACTAAGAAGCTAAATATAGAAGCTAAAGAGTATAAGACTGTTTGAGAACAAGAAAACAAAGAGACAAAATAAACTGTGAGAAAGAAAAACATACAGTACAGCATAAGAAAGGAAGACAGGCATTCATTAGCAAAGAGAGCTGCATCATATACATTGGAGCACATGGGATGGATGGATACTCTAGAGACTTCCCCCTGTTGGCTCTGTCAAACAGACCTGATTACCAGCGCTTCCCGCAGGGCCTGTGTTAATATGCTTATGATAGCTCAGACGCGCACGCAGACGATCACACTAATTTACTCTGTCACGGAAAAGACAATAGTGGTGTCAGGAAAGGCGGGGGGTTGTTTCTGCTTGCTTTTTGTATCTCACTCCTATGCCTCCCTTCACTCTGCCTCTCTATGCGGGTCTACGCCACTGTCTCCATTCGGCAAAGGGCGAAGAGAGTGATTCAGTATGATAGAGATAGAACAAACACGTCCTTTATCTTAATATCAGACACACATTCTGGGTTGAAGTATACCCTATGAGCTCTTATGTCTTTGATTCAAGGCATTTCAGCACATTTCTCAATAACGTTTCTCAATTTTCTCACAATAACATCTCTATTAACCACCACCCAGCTCCTTCCTGCCGCATTTCACAGAGAGTCCAGCCTGCATCCAATAACATCCACATGTTGAGAAGGAAACAGCCCACCCTTCATTAGTCTTCATCTTGACCATGCTTCAGAGTAAACGGAGTCATCATACAGTACTGTGGCCTTTCAAGATTTAAAGGAATAGTAGTGTTTTTTTTTTTTTTTATCATTTATGGAACCACATGTTTTTCCAAACCCATATGACTGTCTTTCTTGCAGTATGTGTAACACAACAGGAACAATTCAGAAAACTGGGGAATGGGGACTGGAGCTTTAAAGCTTCAAAAGCATTAAAATGAACACAAAAGATACATGAAAGCACCATCAATGTAGTCCATATGACTTGAATGCTAAGCACTGTATGAGGAAAAGACCAACATGTAACTCACTGAAGTCATAAAAAAAAAAAAAATCATACAGGTAGGGATACACCAATATACTGTACACAACTGTTCCAAAGTCTCTTTTGCTCACCAAGGATGCATTTATTTTATAAAAAAATACAGTTAAAACAGTAATATTGTGAAACATTTTTGCAGTTTAAAAAAACAATTTTCGATTTTAATCTAATTTACAATGTAATTTATTCCTGTACATAAATATAAAAATATATAAATATATATTACATAAATTAAATATATATTTATTGATTAAAAAAAAAATGTTTTTAGAAGTGATGGTTTAATTAGCATGCAAATTATATAAAGATTTAATAAACTCTTCCATAAAAAAAAATAATAATCTGACTATTATTTTATGACAGGTTTTACAGTGTTAAGAGCTGTCTGAAGTAAAAAATAGTAGGGATGCACGATACTGAGCTCCCGTA